TTTTAGACGTTCTTGACCATAACCCATGGTAAGAAATACATTTTATACCATAATCCATCACACACACACACACACACACACACACACACACAGAGTTATAAACTAGTGTCAGTTACAATCTCCAAATTGATTTCATTACTTGACACTTTGAAAACATCTACAGTTTGAAAAACACCACCCTAAGAGACAGGAAGGTTCATGGAAGATTTCAAAAGTATAATTCACAAATCCCTTCAACTTTTCTTTTCTTTTGCATTTCAAGTCATTGCAAAACAGAAGCAAGTCCAGCCCATTTTCTGGGAAACAAATCACCCATATGCACAGTTCACTTGGTGCTGTGCTGATGGTACAGGAGAGGTTTCCATGCGGGGGCAGGGGGGGAGTGGGGGTAGGAAAGGGGGGGGTTCCTCGTGTGTTGGTTGCTGCAGATGATTAACATGTTAACAAGCAGAATTCCAAAACACAGGACTCTCTCTTGGGCAGGGCCAGGGTGCCCTGTGGAAAGTAAGATCCTATGTCCCCAATGCCTTTTCAAAGAGAACCTTCAATAAACCTTCTTTCACGTAAAGGGCCCATCACACTTCATAACCCAGGAGTGAGCAAGCATTCTGCCCCAGGGCTGCTGAAATGGGAACACGATGACTAGATGCCTTTCCAATCATGCACAGATTTAAAATTCACAGCACCATCCTCACAGCCTCCACCTCCCTCAACGAGGAAAGAATCTGCTCCCTATCCAGCTCTGCATGCCTTCGTGTCAGACCAGAATACTAAAGCTGGAGAGAAACACAAAAGTCTTCTGGTCTCCTTCCAAAGAGGATGGCCCACTACACTTTTCCAGCTCACAGTTGAACTATTTTCCCACTTACCACAACATGCATCTGTGCTCGTAAAGGCTTTCCTTACAGTACTGCAAAAACTTTAGATGTTTCTACCATCACACTTTAAAAAAATATATATTTTATTGACTTTTTACAGAGCGAAAGGGAGAAGGATAGAGAGCTAGAAATGTCAATGAGAGAGAATCATCGACCAGCTGCCTCCTGCACACTCCCCACCGGGGACGTGCCCGCAACCAATGTACATGCCCTTGATAGGAATCGAACCTGGGACCCTTCAGTCTGCAGATCGATGCTCTATCCACTGAGCCAAACTGGTTTTGGCTACCATCACACTTTTGATTATACTGTTTCTCGTACTTAAAATGTTTTCCTTTCCTTCCCGTACAAACTCCATTTATTTTTCCAGATCACAACATACATAGCAAGGAGTAAATAGAAAGGTTTAGTATTTTACTATGAAGCTACTTAAATCAAGTAATCATTATAGAAGTAAACATTAAGTTATTAATTTCCATAATGGTAGAACTAGCAACAATAACGGCAGATGCCAGCACTATTGATTTTTCTGATATAGTCTCACATAGGAGACACTTGTCTCAGAGTAGTTGCAGAGTGTGTGTTAAACATGTGGACTCCAAAGGCAATTGAATTTTTTTCATGTATCAGACAGAGCAACTGAATGGCTTCCTCCCTGAGCGGACGCTATAGTAGATGCTCTCATGGAAGAAGATTCTGTGCTTGATACACAGTCAATCCACAAAACTATGCATCAGCTTTGATGACTTTTGGTTACAATAGGATCACTGAATTTTATAACATTGAAAGAACTTAAAGATTATCTGTTCCAACTCAGATGAGGAAATTTAACCAAAAAAGGTGAGCTACGGTGCTTCAGATCACCTTTGTGGAAAATGACAGAGTTGAAGTTAAAACCCCAAACAAATCTTATGTTATCCAAAGAAATCAGCTCAAAACCTCAGACCACCTAGCTCTTCAGTTTCACTTCCCCGGCCCCCAGACTTCCCGTCTTCCAGCAGACCCCTTGGTCTGACCACGGAGGAGCTTCCCCAAGTCAACACCAAGCTGTCTTCCTCTCATCAACCAACTCCCTGACATTGTTCCATCTCAATGTCACGACTTCTCTTATCCTGCTGAGCAATTTCACTGTTTTTTCCAGTGTTTCCCTTATCCAATACCGCACCTACCAAAACCACACGGCTGCTTTATTTTAAACCCTTCCGTATGGTCCAGACAAACTTACCTACGAAACCAAAGCTCCTGACTATGACCACATCGCCACGAGTCCTACTCTCTCCACCTAGGATTATAGAAGTTTCTTCTATCTCGTGCTGCATGTGAATATCCTATGCTAAAAAAGTTAAGTTTTCTCCATAACCGGGCTCAAGACACATAGCCAAGCAAACGATTATGTTGGTAAGTTAAGCAGGAAAAGCATCAGAGTCCATTCACACTACCAGTAAATAATAAGCTTTACTCTTTGCCTAAAATACACTCTCTCGCTCAAGAGCGGAACCATAGGTTAACCGACCCCCCCTTTTCTTATTCTTTCCTTTGTTCTTATCAAGACACTCAAAGAAGGAGGCAGTCAAAGCAGAAGACAGGACAAAGATGAGACCCATAAAAAGTCTTAAGCAACCAAAAGTAGTTGCAGAGTGTGTGTTAAACATGTGGACTCCAAAGGCCGACTGGCCATCTTGGTTTCACCGTTAACAGCTAAATAGCCCTGGGCATACTGCTTGAACTCTCTGTTTAGTTTCCTCATCTGAAAAACAGGGTGATAGTAAGCACCTACCTCACAGGGTGGCCATGAGCATTAAATCAGTTCATATATGTAAAATACTTAGGACAACGTGTGACACATATGAAACACTACATAAATATTAGTTGACTAATCCCTAGCTGGTTAGGCTCAGTGGTTAGAGTGTCAGCCTATGGACTGAAAAGTCCCAGGCTAGAACCCAGTCAAAGGCGCATATCTTGGTTGCAGGTTCCCCAGCCTGGTCGGGGTGAATGCAGGAGGCAAACAAACAATGTTTCTTTCTCACATCAATGTTTCTCTGTCTCTCTCTCACCTTTCTACTTTCTCTAAAAATCAATGGGAAACTATCTTTGGGTGAGGATTAACAATAATAATAATAATAATAATAAAATAATAATATATAAATAAATATTAATTAACAAAAATAAATCCTGAGTTGGAAGTTATTTTAACTATCACGCTGTGTGTCTGCTGATCTGCAAATCTTACTAGCAGTTTTAGGACATAGGAGCATTATGATGGTTCCCACACCACACTGTGGACACCCTATATCCTCTAATGTGGATTGTTTCCTGAGAACTCAGTTTTTAATTCCTTCACATTGGGACTTGCCCGGAATATACTCCTGGGTCTCTCACTAACAGTCCCCATTGCTGCAGCCATAGGGAGGAAAGGCCTCCTAACTTTAAATGCAAGGCCTGAGAAACCACAAAGGTGTCTGCCCACACATCCCAAATCCTACCTGCGACCCAGGTCAGGAATTGGGGGACAACAAGCCATCTACCACAGAAGAAGCAAAACGAAGGGAACTTTCTTTGCACTGAATGTGTCTTCATGGTACAAGGCTCACAGGTCAAAGCAAACTTCCCAAGTTGTCCTAAATCCTCCCCTCCATTTCCTTATTCATTTTGCTCAGATCAAGCTCTTGGCTACCCTAAATCCAGTCTTCTCCAGGTCAGCATAGTAACACCGCTCTGCTAAACCCCGTAAGCTCATTGGACTCCGTCTCTCAGGAGGACTCCATTGCTGATACTGCCTATCCTCCAGGGCTTCCCGCTCTTGGCTTCTGGGCCACCACATTCTCCGGGGATTTCTGGCTATTCCTCTGGGGCTCTTCTCTGGCTGTTCCCTGCCTCCCCTCCTCCTCACATCGGAGTGTCCTGAGGCTCATCCTGGGTCCTCTTCTCATCTCATCCAGCATTTTTCCCCTCAGTGACTCTCCAATATAGATCTCTAGCTCATGCCTATTCCTGAACTCCTCATTCATACATCCAACTGCCTACTCAGTGACTCCACTGAGATGTCTAATAGGACCCTTCACTTAGTTTGTCCAAAACCAAACTCCTGACCTTGCCCCCAGTCTCCGCCTCTCTGTCTTCCCCGCCTCAGTAAATAACACACTCCACCTTCCCCTCCTCTTCTCACTTCCTTTATACCTTACCAGCCAGCAAATCCTATCAACTCTACCTTTAGAAACATCCAGAATCTGACCAGACCTCATCATCTCCAATCTGCCCTCTGGTCCTAGCACTATCATCCCTCCTGAGTACTGAAGTACCTTCATAAGAAATTCTCTCACTTTTGCCCTTGCCCCATTGTAGTGTTTTATCAAAACAGCAGCCACAGAGAGGCCATTAAAACCTAAGTAAGATCATGGCATAGTCCTAAATAATCTCAGTTGCCCCAATCTACCCTCAGGTCTCTGACCCAATCCCCTCCTACTCACCCCAGTTCATACCACTCCAGCCACACTAGCCTCCTTCCGTTCAGGCTCCTTCTGCTTGGAACGCCTTCCCCTTTCCATGAGCTTGGCTCCCTCAACATCTTCACATCTCTGCTCAAAAGTCATCCTCTAGATCACATGTGTCAAACACAAGGCCCGCGGGCCAAATCCGTCCCGCCAGGCCTTGCAATGTGGCCCGCACCACGCTGTCATCACCGCACTCCGCTGCGTTTCCATCACAATGACAGTTTATGACTGTTCAGTAAACCATTCGGCCCGCGATTTAGGCTGGATTTTAGATTTTGGCCCCTTCTCTGATTGAGTTCGACACCCCTACTCTAGATGGAACCGGCTCTCACAGTGTTTTTTAAAACTGCAAACTATACCTGCTTAGCCTCATCTCCCTTCCCTGCTGTAATTTTCCAGTAAGAGTCATCAACCTCTTATTTTATGTTATTTTAAAATTTTTGTACAATTGTTTTATTTCTCCCTATTAGAATACTCATTTTGTCTCCCCCTACTAGGCAGTTGGAGATTTATACCTGTCCTTGATCACTACTGCATTCCTACTACCTGTAAGTGCCTTGTATACAGCAGATACTCAATAAATATGTGCTAAATGGATGGGAAGAATGACTCACTGGGCTCTCCTTACCTAAGACAGTCATCACTGTTTTCATTAGCTTCATGGGGGTCCTCCGGCGGCTGATGGAGCCACTGGTATGTGGGGACAAGACGTTGGTTTTCCTCTTGACGTACATGTAGATCCGCAGGTACACCACGACCATGATGAAGAAAGCCACGAGGTTGGACACAGTCCAAAAAATGAGGTAACTCCTGCTATAAATGGGGGCCAGGGAAGAGCAGGTAGAGATGTCACAGAGGCAATTCCAGCCCAGTGTGGGGACCGCCCCCATAAAGATGGCAATGGCCCAGACAAACAAAATGAGCAATGTCACCCTCTTTTTGGTCAGGTTGCTGTGGACCCGCATCCTCATGATTGACATGTGCCTCTCCACGGCAATCACCAGCAAATTGGTCAGGGAGGCGGTCAAGCTAGTGTCCAGGAGCCCCTGGCGGAGAAACCAGCGGTTGACGGTCAAAGTCCTTGAAACGGGGCCAGTGTTGAACATCAGGAATACATAGGCAATTCCGGCAAAGAAATCTGCAGCAGCTAGGTTAGCCAACAGGTAGTAGAAGGGAAAATGAAACTTTCTGTTTTTAATCACCGCTGCGATGACCAGAGAATTAGAAAAGAAAATGAACAGGCAGAAAAATGTTCCAACACATAGAACGATCACGAGCTTCGTTCCTGTCCAGTCATCGGCAGTGGCACTGTTGCTTTTGTTATAAAAAAAGTCCATCTGCTTATCATAGTGACACTCATTCATTGTGGAGAAGAACTGAACATCCTAGAAAGAAATTTAAAGAAGAAACAAATGTCACTCTTTGCAAAATCAATCAATAAACCACCCATTGTCCCTTGTCTGGACAGTTTCTCTCAAGCCTTCCGATCTCAGTAAATGTCCCTGACTCCAGGACCCAACTCTGACCTATCACAGCATTTATCTCACATGGGTAATTGTTGTCTGTTTCCCAGGAGAGGTGCAAGTTCAGTGAAGGAGTGTAAACGTCGCCATTATAACCCCAGAACTATTATTCCCTGGCTGCCTCAAGACAGGTCTTTGCTGAATGCTGGCTGACCAGCTGCCTGAATGCATCAATGAATAAATGAATAAATGATCATGGAGGCAGCAGAAAGTCAAATATTCTGAGCCCTGCAATATCCACTCTGTCCGGGTAATGATTGCAGCACAGCGTATTAATGCTTTCTCCTGGTGGTTTCCAGCTCATTTCTTATTTATGGGTTCTGTTCATTAATCAAAGGCAGGTTGGCAATGCCAGGCACATTCTTGCCAAGATAACGGGTGTTGAGTTACTTTTCACATGACCAAGTGGCTTCCCCAAGAGTTCAATTTTCCACCACTCTGCTTCCACTCCTGATCTTGCTTTTGCCATCTTTTGGTTTCAAGTACAATGACAACACTCACTTGACAAGCATGCGGTACAGGCTGGAGACTGGTCTCAAGGCTCCTTCCTTGCCTTTTTGTTTACTTCTTTCTTATTCTCTAGTCCAAAGTGTACCAATGTGAATCTGTTTACTGGACTTCCCAACTCAATCATTTGGAGTCAGTTTCCTTCCCTGAGCTCTCTTCCAACACAGTAGCTGGTGGGAGGGCAGGCCTTCATGGGCAAGACTGACATCTGGAGTTTGAACAGACGTCCAAGGATGTGAGAACATAACTGCCAAGCAAGGGCAAATCCTCAGGACACGTGTCGGAAAGTAGACCCCAAACGGTATCAGGCAGACAGGGAAGATACTAATCTCAGCTCTAAGGTCTCTTGGACCCCAAAATGAGGGCTTTTGGCCCAGAAGGGGCTGGCTGGGCACAGGCTCTAAGATTGACTGTCCATCCTCCTATCCACGGCGGGATGTTCTGCCTCATGAGGGTCTGGGAATAGTCATGTAAGGTTCTGCCAAAGAAGACCAGGGCTGAAGGTCAGGAAATCTAGTGTCTGGAGAGAATAACCATGGGCTCCCTCACAAGCAATGGGGCTGCAATGTGCTTGTGGGAGATCCAGTAGGATCAGGCCCTGAGCAGTTCACTGCCGGGAATGAAGTGGCTCTAACAGCAAACGCTTAATGGAAATCCCCAGCTTTTAAGGATCTTATAAAACTCTGTAATCCAATACCACATACAGAATCAGGACAAGCATATCAGATATCAGTTTGAAGTACTACAAAACAGAAATGTATCTTAGGCAGTCTTCTGTTTATTTACATTTTAATGACATGTGATACCTTTATTTTTTAATTTCTTTATTGATTGAGGTATTACATATGTGTCCTCTTCCCCCCATTAACCCCCCAACTCCCCCGCTCATGCCCCCTGTTGTGGACATGTGATACCTTTAAATGAATTGGACACATGCCTCTCTGCCATAGCGAACGGAAGGTAAGAATATGACTTTATATACTTAAAATAAACAAACTGAGAGTGGTCTCAAGAGACAAACAGTTCTAGTGCCTTTCCATTACAAGGAAGGGGACTCACTTTTAATAATGCCAAAACAAAAATTACTCTCTTTCTCAGGGTTCACCGGTATTTAATTGCCAGTATCAGATAACTTTATACAACAGGCCAATATATCTACACTTTATTGTGATAATTTTCTAAAATCAAAAGTAGAGATATATTTGATCATTTTAATAGCTTTCTGATATTCCAGCTTATGAATATACCACATTTTATTTAACTGATCCCTAACTGCTGGACACTTAGGTTATTTCTAATAGGTTGCTTTTATAAGCAAGGTTACATTCTTGTGCATTAATCTTTATATACGTGGCCAATTATTTCCTTAAGACTAATCCACAGATTTCAAGTTGAAGTAATTTGTATAAATTTATTTACAGGTTTCTGATACATATTGTCAAACTGTCCTTGAAACAGATTGTTTCTAATCAGAATTAATACTAATCTATAAAATTAAATTTAAATATCCAAGGAAAAAATAAGCTTTCAACAATGTTGAAAGTATATAGAAATTCAAGACAAATAATAAAAAAAAATTACATGAGAAATTTTAATGAAGCAATTCATATGTGTCCTTTCACTAATGAAAAAGAATGTATTTTGATTTGCAATTTGCTCTAGATACCTAAGAGAAACACATTTCTAATTTTAAATTATATATCTTTGATTAATTCATCAGCAATGTCAAAATTAAGATGTCAGAAAGATGTTGGAAATATAATATTACCAAAAAAACACACACAACACTTTAAGATTTCCCAATTTTCTTTCCAAGGAGTTTTAATGTTTTAGTTTGGGTTCATAAATTTGGTTGCATTTGTAATTACATAATGTCTTAAAACCTCAATGATTTTTACTTCAAAAATCTTCAAATTCAACTTCCCTCCATAAAAACTGAAATGGCACATTCTTAGACACATTTTAACAAAAACTGTCCTGAGACTGAGAAGTAGTTTTGTCTTACAAAATAGAAAACCGTGATTAGCCAGAACTTACACCAAGCAGCTCCCTCTCTCTCAGCCTCCAATTCTATCAATACTTTTGTCTGAAACATATATAAGGAATTGGTTAAAAATATTCCAAGGATAGAATATTGTGCAGCTATTAAAAAAATCACATTTACCACGAAGTCATGGTAATATGAGAAAAAACATGCCATTATTTTAATTATAAATAATTATATATTAGGTATATGTATACATATATTTATATACATATCTACATACATAAATGTGTGGTGTGTTGACTATTTTTTTAAAGATACAGAAAAAAGATAAAAAAAAGTTTCAAAGTGTAATGTTAAGAATGGTAGAATTGAGGGTCATTAAAAAAATTCTTTACAGATTTCTCCCGTTTCCAAATTTCTGTAATAAATAGGCTTTTAAATGCTACTTTAAAAATTCTGTCTGAGGAGCACACATTCTACTTAATGCATTCTACCTTTCTTGATAACTACAGTCTGTCTGAAACATCAAAATTAATTTTCAAAGGAAAAGGATTCACCTATGTCCATTATTACTACATTTATCAGCAAAGCACACTTTAGAGCTTTTCAGTGATAATGAAAATAAAATGGTTTTCTACTTAAAGCTTCATGTAACCATAAAACCTTATACGCTGATAACTAACCAAATCAGGACATCATTTCCCTCAACTCTCCTATAAAACATTTCCTCACGCAATCATCCCAGAGCTCCAAACATGAATAACTGGAAGTTTTGTAAATTACTACTTTTGATTTTGTTTCTCCTCTGCCATATGCTGCCAAGCTTGTTGACTGTCCCCAGTACATATCAACTACAGATCATTGTATTTTCTTAGCTGGAAATTACCAAAATCTTTGTTGAACTTACAACAAATAATCGGATTTACCATCTCTTGACCCCTCTCAGACTTAAGATATGATTCTGTAATCCTCGCCTAAAATACCCCCTTCACAGAAATACCTTCTCTGACCAATCCAAAGTAACTTCACACTGAAGCTGTATAACCCCTGGGAGAAAACAGAGGCAGCAAACTCTTTGGCATTTCTCTTAGTAATATCTGTTTGGATAGGACCCCTCGGGCAAGGTCAATAAAAGAAAAATTAAATAAATGGGATTACATATAACCAAAAAAGGCTTTGTACAGCAAAGGAAACCATAAACAAAATGAAAAGACAACCTTTAAAAATGAGAGGAGATATTCACAAATGACATATATAATAAGGGCTTAATAACCAAAATATACATGAAGCTCATTCAATTTAACACCAAAAGACCCAAACAATTCAAATAAAAATTTGGGCAGAGGCCCTGAAGAGACATTGAGATGGCCAAAGACATATGAAAAGATGTTCAGCATCACTAATCATCAGGGAAACTAAAACCACAATCACATATCACCTCACATCTGTCAGAATGGCTACCATGGATAAATCAACAAATAGCAAGTGCTGGTGAGAATGGAGAAAAGGGAACCCTCATACACTGTTGGTGAGGTTATAAATTGGTATGGCTACTATGGAAAACAGTATGGAGGTTCCTCAAAAAATAGAGCTGCCACACAATCTAGCAATTCCACTTCTGGGTACTTATCCAAAGAAAATAAAAACACTAATTCAAAATGATACATGCATCTCTATGTTCATTGCAACATTGCTAGTAATAGCTAAGATAAGATCACAACCCAGATATCCAACAATAGATGAATACAGAAGTGATATATACAAGACGGGGCAAAACTAGGTTTACAGTTGAGAGTATGAGAAACATAGAGTTTATTCTCAATTCTCAATTATTAATTATATTAATTTCCATAAAGCAACTATAAACCAATTTTTTACCCCATGCTGCATATACAGTAGAGTATTATTCAGCAACAAAAAAGAATGAAATCTTACCATTTGCAACGATATGGATAGATGGACAGGGAGTATAGTGCTAAGTAAAATAAGCCAGACAGAAAAAGACAAATACCATATGCTGTTACACGTGGAATCTAAAAACCCACACACACAAATGAATAAATGAAACAAAACAGAAACAAACCCATAGATATAGAGAGCAAGCTCATGGTGGCCAAAAGAAAGTGGTGAGGGGAGTAACTCCACAGCTCTCGCGACCAGGAAGCCCTGTTGTATCTTCACCAGAGCACCAATCATCTGTTACCTATTTTCTTTTGTGTTTATGCATTTATAGTCCAGCCCCACCCTAAACCAGTCTGCTCTGGGGGTGCGGGTACCATGCCTTTTATGCTCCTGTTGATAACATCAACATTTGTGGAGTGAATGAATGAATCTCCATCCTACACTATCTCTTCCCCTCACTGAAATG